CCCCCCCTTCACCTCAGGGGTTTCTGGTTCTTCTTCAGGTTCTGGTTCTGGTGTAGGTTCTGGTTCTTCTTCTGTTTATGTTTTATCTGCAGGTTCTGGTTTATCTTCAGGTTCTGGTTCTGGTTTATCTTCAGGTTCAGGTTCTTCTTCAGGTTCTGGTTTATCTGCCGGTTCTGGTTCTGATGCAGGTTTGGGTTGTTCTTCAGGTTATGTTTTATCTGCAGGTTCTGGTTCTGGTGTAGGTTCTGGTTCTTCTTCAGGTTATGTTTTATCTGCAGGTTCTGGTTCTGGATCTTCTTCTAGTTTTACTGTGTCAGAAATGGTGACTTAAAATATTTCCATGTTTCTCTAAACCCTGCTGACCCCCTGTACCCCTAACCCTAACCCTAACCCTAACCCCTAACCCCTAACCCTAACCCTGTACCCCCCCCCCAGCCCCGGGGGCCCTGGCGGGCTGTGCGGAGGTGGACTCCCTGAGGGAGGCGGTGGTGGGGCAGGACTTCCTGCTGGGCTGCATCTCCTGTAAGAGCCGGGAGGAGGTCCCGGCGCGGGCCGCCGTGGACTGGTTCTACCGGCCCCCGGGGGGGGGGGGCGCCTTCAGGCACGTGAGTCCACCACACCGGGGGGGGGGGGTTTACACGTAAACACAGATATTCTGATTCATTAGGTCAACAACATCTGCTGGAATAGAGCTCATTCAGAGCTGATTCTGGAGGAAAAAGGCAGAAAATCAACATTTAAATGTGAGATATTCTGATTTATTTTGAAGGAGAAAACAGCAATTGTAATTCAAATTTTAGATATTCTGATTTATTTTGATTTATTTTAGTAATAAATCTGATTCCTAAATTAATTTCTCAGGGAGGTGGGTCTTGGTGGAGGACTCAGGTGCGGAGATGACGGAAAACAAGGTTTATTGTAACAAAAGACACTCATGAAGAGTGAATGTCCAGACATGGTACAAAACAAGGCTGTGGAAAACTGTGAGCAAAGTATCAAAGCGATAAGTAAACCGGACTGTGGCAAAGTAACAAAATAAAGATTAACCAACTGTGACAAAGCTGTGGTAAAACTGTGACTATGACAAAAATCAAACCTGGCCTTTCCATCATTTTATTGTAAAATCAGCTCCTATTTTATTCTATTTTTCTGTATCACCTGCTGGACCGGAGCTCACCCGGCTCCTGTTTCCAGATCTTCCACTATGACCAGTGTCCTGGAAATCAAAGCTGATTCTGGAGGAAAAAAGCAGGAATTCTAAGTTTAAATGACGGATATTCTGATTTATTTTCATTTCTTTTTGTCATTTATCTGGTTCCCACATGAATTTGTGGGATTATTTCATCTTCTGGTGTAAAAACTGAGGTCTTTCCATCATTTTAGTGTAAAACCAGCTCCTATCTTCTCCTATTTTTCTGGAACACCTGCTGGACCGGAGCTCACTGGGCTCCTGTTTCCAGATCTTCCACTACGACCACCCGGACTCCAGCGTCCTGGAAACCAGAGCTGATTCTGGAGGAAAAAAGCAGGAATTCTAAGTTTAAATTCCAGATATTCAGATTTATTTTTATTTATTTTAGTAATTTATCTGATTAGTGAATTAATTTCTGGGATTATTTCAGCTTCTGGTGTAAAAACTGAGGTCTTTTCATAATTTTAGTGTAAAACCAGCTCCTATCTTCTTCTACTTTTCTGGAACACCTGCTGGACCGGAGCTGACTCGGCTCCTGTTTCCAGATATTCTGATTTATTTTGATTTATTTTAGTAATTTATCTGGTTAGTGAATTAATTTCTGGGATTATTTCAGCTCCTTGAGGAAAAACTGACGTCTTTCCATCATTTTAGCATAAAACCAGCTCTTAAATTCTCCTATTTTTCTGTAAAACCTGCTGGACCGGAGCTGACTCGGCTCTTTTTCCCAGATCTTCCACTACGACCACCCTGAGTCCAGCGTCCTGGACGGGGACTTTGACGGGCGCCTGCGGTGGCGCGGGACCCCGGACCGGGACGTCCAGACGGGCGCGGTGCTTCTGCTGAACGTCAGCCTGTCGGACGGCGGGACGTACCGCTGCGTGTTCAGCCGCACGCTCGTGCTGCCGCCCGACAACCAGCACGTGACCGTGGAGAAGGAGGTGGAGCTGCGCGTGGTGGAGGAAGGTGAGCGTCCAGAGGTGGGATCTTAGGGAGGAGGACTCGGTCGCGGAGATTGGGGAAAATGGTTTATTGTAACAAAAAAAAAGACTCAAACGGAGTGGATGAAGACAAAGTTCAAAACAAGGCTGTGAGAAAACTATGAACAAAGTAGCAAAGCAAGATCAACAAAACTGTGGCAAGGTATCAAAGCAAAATAACAGAACTGTGACAAAATATCAAAGCAAGATTAACATGACTATGACAAAACATGGCTGTGACAAAAAATGGCTATGACAAAACATGGCTATGACAAAAAAATGGCTATGACAAAACATGGCTATGACAAAAACATGGGTATGACTAAACATGGCTATGACAAAAACATGGCTATGACAAAAACACGACTGTGACAAAACATGGCTATG